CAGAGGTCCCTTTACTACGGTTCGGAGCCGCGGACCTTCAGTAACAGTAATAAATCACAGCAATAGTACATTCATGTAGTTGTAAACAGCATGAATTTTAATTTTAATTTTAAAAACTCATAGTTCTTATCAAAATTAGCGTTAGAGCAGCTGGATCCAAAAAGACTGGTTCATTCAAAAACACAAACAGACCCACTGATGTTTGTATGATGGAAATATTGGACGTTTAACCGTAATAATAACTAAGAAGGTTGTGGTGAAGTGTAAAACACTCCTTGGACTCGCAGGAGGTCAGAAGTGGTGCTTACCTCTGCGTAAGGTGGCCGTGTGGAACGGCGGCGGGGGCGTGATCTCGGTGTACGCGCGCTCCCTGGGCACGGCCGACTTCATCTCCATGTAGCTGCTCTCCGGGGGGCAGAAGGGCAGGGGCAGCCCGGGCAGGTCTTTGATGGTGGCGTACGGATTCTCGCTGTTCAGAGAGCTGCTGCTCACGGCCGCCGAATCCTTCAGCTCTGCAGGAAACAAATGTTGAGAGATCAAACTGCATATGAAGTCCACGCGGAGCAAGAATGGAGCATGATTGAGGGTTAAAGCCTAAGCCTACTAGATGAAGCATTCACTGCATGAAAAGTGAGATTTTCATCAGTATGCAGCTCTGCAAATTGCTGTACAGCTGCAAGTTAATGACTGTTGACGTAAATTTGTAGGCAGCACAAAGGACTTCCAGTAACTGTCGAGTGCTGACATGGAAATTGAAATTTCTAGCAGTTTTACAAGCCTGAGAATTCCTCTGGGCTCAGGAGACAAATCATGACAGTAGAGGACGACGACAGCTTTCTTTATAAAGTCCTGATGATCTTTTACAGCAATAAGGAATCAGCTTTAGTTTAATTGTACGCTGATGAAATTGTAGGTTTAACAGATCTGCCTAAAGTAAGTGAGCCTGTTGAGACCAAATGTGTTTTTTTCCATGAGCAACATTCAATAATGATATTTAAATAATCCAAAAAGCAGCTTCAGACGTCTTCGTCTCTTGATGGAACGACGCCGTGTTAGCAACAAACTGCAAGATGAGAAAAAAATGTTCCCCAGCGACAGCAGAGGTGCAGCATTTAAAGAGCCGCAAACACAGAGACACTGAAAAAAGAGCAATTACAACAGAAATGTTTCCAGGGGACAATAAAAAAAATGGATGTAAGCTTACGGTTTGTCTGATGGTTTCTTTGTTTGATCACTCGCCTCATGAGTCACTGAATTTTGCAACAAGCACGTCTCGGCCGTCTGCCGCGTCTGTGTTTTCAGACCAGTCAAAATGTTTTCTCAGTCTGCTTAAATGTGTTTGCGCTACGAGGAGCTCTCGGGACCGCTACACACAGCCCACGGCCGAGCATGTCACGAGCTTACCGTCTTTGTTTAACGTGCATTTTAACATTTGCTAAATGGGACTAAACAAACAGTCCAGCTGAGGATGATGGGAATGTCAACAGTAAACAAGCAAAGCAAACTTTATTTGTACAGCACACTTGATTCGACGTGGCGTTCGAGGTCAAGCGTGAGCTGAGGTGGAAGTAAAAAAAACAACAACCTGCAGATAATGTAAAATGAATGAGTTTCAAATAATTTAATAAATGCAAAGAAAATAAACAATGAAGAAGATAAAATCTGACTGAGCGTGCAAATCATGACAGAAGGCCTGGGACCAATTCCACCCAGACTATCAGAAAATAATAGAAACTAATAAATAAAAAAATATAATATATAATAAATAAAATATATAATATATAATAAAATATAATAAAAAAAAACATTTAAGCAATAGAAGTGATAAAACATGGAAACAGGAATAAGATCAAATAAAAATTAAAAGTAAAAATGTGGAAAACAAACATTCAACATGTCACAAGCACTAGAAAAAAATGCGATCACATGGCGGCGAGAGATCGAAACGCTACATTTTTCCACAAGTACATAGAGTTCACCCAGAGGGGGGCTTTGAAACCAAATTACATGGACGTCTAATTCACTCAAAGCTTGCTGTTAAAAAATTACACGGGTGTTAGAAGAAAAGTCCCACAGTTTTCACAAATTCATGAAAAGCCATCTGATAGATAAAGGTGTGACGGTGGAGAGCACTGTCATCCATAGACTGTATAAATAAAGCTTACTTTGGACAGCTTTTCCACAGCTAACCTCAGACTTCAGCAGTAAGTAAGAAAAGCGAGAAAACGAGGTGATAAACTACCTTTGTTGTAATATTTTCCGAGGCTGGCGCTGTAGCTGTAGCTCCGATCGATGCCAAAAGCTCCTGTTAACAATAAAAGACAAATCAGACGTCTTCATTTAGCTTTATAGCGAGCTAATCAAAAGCAGAGAAACTGCTGTGGAAACCTGTAAAAATCAATCCCAGGTGAGTGATAGGTGCTGGCAATGCAACTCTCACCTTTTACGAAGTCCTTATTATTTTTATAGTCTCACATCGAGCGTGCCCCGCTGACTAGGAAATGTGATGGTCGATAAACTTTGCTGGAGATTATAAGCAGGAACTACTTAAGCTTCTTCCTGGCCTGAGGCTCTCAGCCATCACCTGCATAAGCAGCTATGCTGGCGCAGTTACTGAAAAGAGCCTAAGAAATGTGTAAAATCTAAACTTTTGCACAACTCTGATCAAGACCCTAAAAAAGGGGTTAAATGTCACTGAGACACTTTGATCCCTGACAGTTCAGCCACTGCTATGTTTGAACTCTTTCATTACCAACGAGGAACTACAGCAGATGTGTTTGGATCAAAAATAAATAGGGACTTATTCTTCTCATTTATATTCCAATTTTTAATTTTCAGATACCAATAAAATACTTTTCACTGTTCAAACAATAATTTTCCAGGTCTGTCAACAAGCTGTTTTAGCTCCTATCGCTTTAAAGGCCTCCCCTCCCTAAAAACCCCACTGTCTTCTGATTGGCTGCCCCTCCTCTCTCCTGCAACCAGAACCCTGGTGCCTGTAAGCTTCTCTACTCATGTGCCTTTGGTGTCTGTAAACAAGTCCACACTGAGCTGATGTTAGCTCAGCACAAAATTACAAGAAAATGTCAGACTTTAAAAAAGCTTTTGGCTCGCAGGGATTATTTTACATTTACCTCATAATTTAAAACTTGGATCATGTTTGTAGTCATCTAACATCAGGACATGAGAGAAAATGAGAAAAGCGTGACATAGCACCCCCCTTCATATATAAATATTTAATTGTAAATGTTTTACGGAAATTTCAAACAAAAATACAAAATTCAGAACTTTATACTGCAAACAAACTTTTGCTGTCCACCTGCAAAACTGTGCAGCAAGCCCACTAGAGGCTTGCTGCACAGTTTAATCATCAGAACAGCAGTTCTTTGCTTTCCCACTTTGCCAGAGGTCACCACTTAGTCATAATAATATAATATTAACTTTAAATATCACCAGAAGTCTGCACAAACCCTTCTAAGAAAGGACGCGTATGAGATCTTTGCACCTCAGCTTCATACTTGCTGTTCAGTGAAAATAAAGACGTTTGAACTCTGATTAATGTTACACAAGACGTTTTCTGTCCACCTGTTATGACCATAATTAAAGAACGCATTTAACTTAAGTGACATAACTGTTTAATTATTGACTACAATTGGATCACTCTGTTATATTACTATGAGACAGGCAAAGATAATGTGATGACAGTAATGTCTAATTTATCCCCCCCCACACACACACCCACCCCTCACCGCCAGCCAGCAGTTGCAGGTTTTACTGATTACTTTAATGCCGCTGTGGTCAGAAGGTCGGGAAACCAGTTTCTCGCTTTTATAAGCTTGTAAATGTTAATGTGCTCATTTTATTCTCGTCTCCAGCTGCAGGTGTGCCCTCTAAACGATCCTTATGTGAATCACGCAGTGCAGAGTCACCTAGACGGACCTGAGTCTTTGCGAGGCTCGTGGTGTTTCCAGTCTGCAGGCAGCGTGGCGTTGGTCTCGACTCCAAACAGACCTCGCCTCTCCCTCTCTGCGTTCTTCACGCTGCAGAACAGCTGGTTGTTGGTGTTCTGTAAGGCAGGAAAAACGATAAACCGTCGCAAATGTACAAAAGCCAAACGAAGCGCCGAGGACCGATGACCTACTGCGTCTACACGTTTTGGTATCATATGATTTCACAACCCCCTGAATACACAGCCAGCTGTTGCTGGCTGTCCAAATGACATATTCCTCCCAATGCTGCCCTTCAGTTGCAATGAGGCATGAAGCTTTCTCCTTAGATATCAGAGACGACATTCACCTTGATGGTGCGCTCGTGGTTGTTGGGGAGGTGTGGCAGCGGAGGCCTGTTCTGGCTCAGTGTGTGGTAGCTGGGGTTGGAGTAGTAGTGGTGGTAACTGTGAGGAACATCTGCACGGCGAAAACAAACACATGGCATCACGTCTGCTGCTATTAAATTACCTCAAGGTCAATAAAATGCATTCCACAATCACACAGAGTGAGATAGAGATGAAACCGCACTGTGCATACAAACAACATCAACATCACAGTTCTCCAAAAATACTCAAGATCCAGCGTAGATCGCTGACCGGCTGAGTCTTCTTCTGCAAAGGCATGTTAGCAGTCAGCAGTGACTCAGTTTAAAACAAATATTTCTTTAAACTGTTTTAATGAAGCAATTACAGGGATTCAATAAGAATCCTCAACAACACCACAAAATCTGCCACAGTCCCACTTGTTGCAAGATTTAATTTATCCCTTATGTATAAGATGACTTCAATTACTGCAGTTAATAAATGGCTGACACTGAGCATGATATCTATCTAGTTTACTGCACCAGTTTGTAAAAAAACAAGGTCTTAAATAATCAGGCCCCATCTTATCTTAATGACCTTGTAGTACCATATCACCCTATTAGAGCACTTCGCTCTCGCTCTGCAGGCCTACTTGTTGTTCCTAGAGTATTTAAAAGTAGAATGGGAGGCAGAGCCTTCAGTTTTCAGGCCCCTCTTCTGTGGAACCAGCTTCCAGTTTGGATTCGGGAGACAGACACTATCTCTACTTTTAAGATTAGGCTTCAAACTTTCCTTTTTGCTAAAGCATATAGTTAGGGCTGGACCAGGTGACCCTGAATCCTCCCTTACTTATGCTGCAATAGATGTAGGCTGCCGGGGATTCCCATGATGCATTGAGTTTTTCCTTTCCAGTCACCTTTCTCACTCACTATGTGTTAATAGACCTCTCTGCATTGAATCATATCTGTTATTAATCTCTGTCTCTCTTCCACAGCATGTCTTTATCCTGTCTTCCTTCTCTCACCCCAACCAATCACAGCAGATGGCCCCGCCCCTCCCTGAGCCTGGTTCTGCTGGAGGTTTCTTCCTGTTAAAAGGGAGTTTTTCCTTCCCACTGTCGCCAAAGTGCTGCTCATAGGGGGTCATATGATTGTTGGGTTTTTCTCTGTATCTATGAAGCGCCTTGAGGCGACTTTTGTTGTGATTTGGCGCTATATAAATAAAATTGAATTGAATTGAATTAAAACAATCAAATATGGCTGAATTAAATGGAAGTTTGAAACATATCTGACCTTCTTCTTCCAATTCTAACATGAAAAATTTGTTCAGTGATTTATTTTCATAATAAACCTTCCCATATGGAAAAGAAATAGTAAAAACTTACATGATTTACTCATGAAAGTGGCCACTTTCTCATTATTTTCATATATTGTTTTAGTAAGTATCCAAAAAGTTTCATTATATAATTTTTCAAGGGATCTTATATCTGTTTTCACTCTTTGCTTTTCATACAAGTTTCACACAAGACAGATACAAACTTTATAAGATTTATATATATCTTTTCCATATGGGCTATTCAGGTGGCCTTCAAGTCCACTTAAATCACATTCGGTCATCAGCTGTTGTACCAAAAGAAAACTTTTTTTTTTAAAAATACAGTTATGTTGATTTCTGACATCCTGTTTTATATTTTTAAGGCTTAAAAGTGTTTTAGTGTCAGTTTAAACCTCCAGCAGGGAACAAAATCAGCCGTCACATCAACACATTAATCAAAGAGTCAAATTTATATCCACAAAGACAAATTTTCCTTTTTTTTGGCTGCAATGACGACTCTCCTATCTACTAATTTATGTTTATGTACGCAAAATATATAATATTTTCCAAAAGAGTGAAAAATCCACACGTTTGAGGGTGGAGTGATTAGCAGTGATGTGACTTATGTTGGTGGAAACCAGTAGAACCATAGTGCTGGTCCCTCACGAGACATTAAAAACTACTGTTAGATTTTGCACAGGGTAAGATTTAGAAAAAGACCCTGCTGTTGGTTCAAGTACAATGACTCCATTTGATTTTAAAGGCGGTTTGTTGCGTGCCGGGGTGACGCGTTCCAGCTGGACAGGATCAACAACATACGTGCTGCAGACACAAAACATTCCTCTCATTGAAACACGCTAGCTTTACTGCAAAAAAAAAGTTACTTGTCTCCAAGAACATGAACAAATACATTACTTCTCCTGTTTTAAAGTGTGTTATTAGCCGTGCTGGAAAAAGAAGAGCAAACGTATGAAAGTAAAGATGAAAGCAGTTTCTAAGGTGACTGGATTTTCAGGTGCAGCTGCCTGTGCACGCTCCAGCACGACAGGAAAATACTGGGTGATTGTTCCCACAGCGATGTTCTCGTCCCCCCGTCTGCACTTACCAAACCTTACTGGAAACTGCGTGGTGCTACACACTACCACATTGCTGTGATTCAACCTTATATCCACAGGAGATGAATCCTGTGTTGAGATCCTGATGTTTCAAACTCTGACCAGTCTGACTGGATGTGTCAGATTTTACTTGAATCTGTGTGTTTTATGTTACGCACACAGAAGCATCTTCAGACTGTACCTGGAACGGCATATTCAGAGTTGACGGTGCGGCTGGTGGAGAAGGAGACAGTCGGAGTGTTGTTCTGCTTTTCCTTCTGCCTGCGGCGGTAGAGCAGCAGCAGAGCCAGCAGCAGGACCACCAAAATGACAAGCACAACGATGCCGGCGATGGCCCCCCACGACTCCCTCTCTCCAGGATTAAGACGACTCATGACGCTCCCCGTCTGCTGAAAGGAGTCTGACGAGCAGAGGGTGGAAGGAGAGCTCAAGTACAACAACCAGAGCAGCTTTCATGATGAATTCATTATTATTATGAACCACAGCACATTACAGGTTACATGTTCAATTCAGTTTTATTCATATAGCACTAAATCACAACAACAGTCGCCTCAAGGAGCTTTATATTGTGAGGTAGTGTAAATGTCAGTGTTATAACTCCCAAACTTCTGCTAACATCAGGTGCGCACCTTGCTTGCAGTCGTCGCCTCTGTTTTCACACACACAGTCTCCAGTAAATCTGTCACAGAGGAGGTTGGCTGGACAGGAACAGGTCTGAGCACAGAGCTGGCCGAAACGTCCCGGATCACACGCTGGAAAACAAAGTACATTTCTCGGACTTATTTCCCCTTCAGCAGCATCTGTGTGAGATATCTGTAGAAGTTTTACACGACTCACTTGATTGCTCCTATTATTCTGTCATCTCTAATCTGAGTCACTGAGCTGAGTTTCCTGTGTTTGTGCTGCTTTTTAATGCAAATATCTGTTTTGTTTCAGTTGTTCTGGTGAAAATTCTAGTATTTTGTTAGTCGAGCACTAATTAGCAGGTGTTTGTTTCTCTGTGCTGCATCTGGACAGTTTACGATTACTGCTTGCTGACTAAGCTAACTGGCAACAGCTGGTAGTTTAAATATGGTCACTTCCAGCTCTAAAGAAAAGCAAGATGCTCAGATCAACGCCTCACATTGGCTGCTTGCAATGATTAGAGTGGGTCTATGGATAAAAACAAGGCCCTGGCTGCTGCAGATTACCACTTCAACTTCTAACCCTGTAGATACTCTAAACGAATCAAAAGCACCGTACTGTCCACGCTCTCATCTCTGCGTGAAATCCTGTGGCACTCACGTTTGGAGCAGTCGATAGCGGTCCAGCCCGGTAAACATTCACAGTGACCGTTCCGGTGGTTGCACGTGGAGTTGTTGGCACAGGGAAGACACACTTCAGAGCACTGTTTTCCAAAGTAGCC